CTTTTCAAGAGCTTGAATGTGGACTTGGGAGCACCACGAAAGACAGCCGAAGGTTTTCCTGGTGGGAAGATGTTGGCTACAAACCACAGAGGGAGGCCCATCCCCGACCTGCTCCCTGCAAAGTGCTCGCAACAGGGGCCGAGAAACAACTTGACTGGTTTAACAGTGGGGAGACAATTTCCAGCAGCCAGGTCTGTCACAGGGTGGTGCAAGGAGCAGAAGTGAATGCTTTTCTACCTCTCACTGAGTGACCTACGTTGAATGACAGAAAGGGCCCTAGAACAGATTATCATTGACTAGCAACAAAACCAAAGAGGAATTATAGAGAGGGAAGAGAGGCATGTCACACACAAGGAAAAAAAAAATCAGTGAAAAAATACAGGCAATTCTCAGAGTCCTAAAGACACAGTACTCCAAAAAGCAGCTCTCAGAGCACAAACAATGGAAACTCCCCAGAAAGACCTACCCCAGATGATAGTCACAGGAAACAGAGATTAGGTGGCTAAAATGAACAAAGCGAACCAAGAGAAAGTAGAAATAAGACTCAGCAAAGTCATACAAGAAGTAAAAGTGTTGTTGGTCAGTTTCAGAAAGGCTCATTCCAACATAGTGGAAGTGAAGAACTTCATCCTAAAAATTAAAAACACAGTAACAAGTATAGGAATCAGGATCCATCAGACAGAGGAAAGAATCTCAGAGTTTGAAGACCAAAATATGGAACTAACCCAGTCTGTTAAAAACATGGAAAAAAAACTCAAAAAGAAGTAAAGCCTCTGAGAGATGTGGGGCTAAGTCCAGAAACCAAATCTATGCCTGATTGGTATCACTGAAGCAGAAAGAGAAACTGAGAACACCATGGAACAAGCAATGTATATCCTCCGTGGCTTAATGTAAAGCTTTGCCTACAATCTCTCCCTTCTGCCTTAAAACTCCATCCTGTGAACCTAGAGGAAACACTCTTTTTTTTGAGTTGGAGTCTCACTCAGTCGCCCAGACTGGAGTGCAGTGGCTGCTCCCGGCCACTGCAGCCTTGACCTGCTGGGCTCCAGAGATCCTTCCACCTCAACCTTCCAAGTAGCCGGAATTACAGGCATGCACTACCATGCCCGGTTGATTTTTTGATTTATCGTAGAGATGAGGTCTCGCTGCCCAGGCGGGTCTCGAACCCGCAGGCTCAGGCAATCCACTCACCTCAGCCTCCCAAAGGCGTGGGATTACAGGCTGAGCCACCGAGCCCGGCTAGGAAACACTCTTATGCACATCGGAGTAAGCAATGAATTCTTGACCAAGTCCCCAAAAGTGAATTCCGTAAAAGCTAAGATAGACAAGTGGAAACTCATCAAATTTAAAAGCTTGTGCATAGCAAAAGAAGCCATCAAGAGAGTAAAGAGTCAACCAATATAATGGGAAAAAATATTTGGAAATTATGCATCTAGCAAAGGTCTAACATCCAGGATTTTTTTTTTGAGTTGGAATCTCACTCTGTCGCCCAGACTGGAGTGCAACGGCTGCTCCCGGCCACCACAGCCTTGACCTGCTGGGCTCCGGTGATCCTTCTGCTCAGCCTTCCAAGTAGCTGGAACTACAGGCGTGCGCTACCACGCCCGGCTAATTTTTGGATTTATTGTAGAGATGAGGTCTCACCAAGTTGCCCAGGCAGGTCTCAAACCTGCGGGCTCAGGCAATACACTCACCTCAGCCTCCCAAGGTGTGGGATTACAGGCTGAGCCACCAAGCCCGGCTACATCCGGGATCTAAAAGGAACTCAAAGTGAAGGGAAGCAAACAAACAACCTCATTAAAAAGTGGGCAAAGAACATGAACAGACACTTCTCAAAAGATGACATGCAAGCAGTCAACAGACACATGAAAAAATGCTCAGCCTCACGAATCATCAGAGAAATGCAAATCAAAACTACGAGATACCACCTTACATCAGACGGTGGCGTGGGTGTGAAGAAATAGTAACACTTCTACACTGCTGGTGGGAGTACAAGCTAGTTCAGCCTCTAACAAACAAAGTGATGATTCCTTAAAGAATTAAAAATTGATCTTTCATACAACTGAGCAATCCCTCTCCTGGGAATATACCCGGAGGAACATAAATTGCTCTACAAAAAAGACACCTGCACACACACGTTTATTGCCACACTATTCCCGACAGCAAAAACATGGAACCAACCCTGTTGTCCATCAGAAGTGAAGTGGATAAAGAAAATATGATATATATACATGATGGAGTATGATGCCGCCATAAAGAACAAAATCATGGACTTTGCAGCAAATTGGATGGAGTAAGAGATTATCATACTAGGTGAACTATCACAGAAAGAAAGAACAGAATACTGTATGTTCTCACTCATAAGTGGGCCCTGAAAAATAGTCACATTAACACAAGGGAGGGATTGACAGTCACTGGGCACTGTTAGGGGAGGGAAGGAGGGGGAGCACATGATAGCACAAAGAGTACCTGGACCACCAAGGGAAGTGAGGGCCAATTAGAAGCCCAGACTTCACCTGCATGAATCTCTCTTATGTAGTTAAACCTCGCTTATACTCCACATATCTAAATACAGTAAAAAATAAACTTAAACAGAAGAAAAATTTAAAAATTTGAGTTTCTATAAGAAATTCCAGGAACCTAGCTTGCCCTGAGATGTGAATGAGCAACTTGAGGAGCAAGAAGGGAATAATTACTTTATTTTTTATTTTATTTTATTATTATTGTTTTTGAATTGGAGTTTCACTCCGTCACTCAGGCTGGAGTGCAGTGGCACGCTCATGACCATCCCAGCGTCGACCTACTGGGCTCTGGTAATCCTTCCGCCTCAGCCTTCCACGTAGTGGGAACTACAGGTGTGCACTACCACACCCGGCTAATTTTTAAAATTTTATTGTAGAGATGAGGTCTCGCTAAGTTGCCCGGGCTGGTCTCGAACCTGTGGACTCAGGCAATCCACTCACCTCGGCCTCCCAAAGTGCTGGAATTACAGGCTGAGCCACCAAGTCCGGCCAGGTATAATTACTTTAAACAACAGCCAAGGAGGTTAGAGCCATGAAATACTTGGTTCCTTATAGACACTAAAGTTAACATCTTAATATATGTCCTTAGGCTGTTTTTCAGAAACCCAGACCCCATCAAGGGGATCATCCCCACGTAGACCTCAGATAAGGGACAGGGAGGGTTGGACTCACACCAATCCTCTGTTCTCAATTTCTTCCTGCATGGCCTGGAGGAGGTTTTGCCCATAAACCAGAGCTAGCATTCTTTTCTGCTGATCTCAAATTTTTAGATAAAGCTTTGCCTCCTTAACCAGTGGAAAATCAGAACATCTTTGAATCCACCTATGGCCTGTGGGCCCTACTTGGAGGTGTCCTGCCTCCAATGCATAATGCTCCGTGGTTTGACGTAAGACTTCACCTACAACCTCTCCCTCCCACCTTTAAGACTCTTACCTGGGAGCCATCAGGGAGCTTCAGTCTTAACCAGTAGTGGTCGACACTCCTTGCTTGGCACCCTGCAGTGCGTCTCACTTCCTCTCATTGCTATCCCAATGTTAGTGTTTGAGTTTCCCGCACTGGGTGACAGGATCAAGTGTAGTTCAATAACGCCCTAAAGATGGCTTAATAAACCTTGATGATTGAGTCTTACACTTCAGTTACTTATTTTGGTTGTTGAAGATTGGAAGTGGGGAGCAGATTCTCCAAGTCAGAGAAGATTGAATAATTTCATGTTCTGCTTGTGAGTACAGCTGAGGGAGTGTCACCCTGACTCCTCCTCCCTCTGACTGTCTTCTCTGGGACTTCCTGAGATAGCTGCAGACTCTAGAGTGCACTTGGAAGCATCTGCCTCCCCAGGAAAGGGCCCTATTACTCTCGGGATGAACAGGAGAGAAGCATTAGGTATGGGGATTGGGAAATGTCTCTGCACATGGCCCTCAAGGATTCTTGGTTGAGAGAGACTCTGGTCACTGAGAAGGCTCTGGATGTGTGACCAGGCAGGGGAGGGCAGAGGGCAATGGACCCAGCACCCACGACTGAGGAAAGGGCACCTTCAGGGTATGAGGTTGTAAACAGTTTCACCTTCTTTGTGTAAGTCCTTCCATTTCTCCCTCCCAGCAACTCTGGGAGTTTCCTATGGGTTTCACATCCCCGTTCCCTTCTTACCCCCCTCTCTATCTCTTCCGGAAGGAAACTACTATAGCAAATGGGACATTTTCTATTCACTCTTTGGCTATCTTTTTCTAAACGTAGAGAAACTGAGAGAGACCTGCTTCTGTGGAGTGATTCTGTGTGCTGAACTGGAAAAGGAAACCCAGACTAAGAGAGGAATTTCCACCTAATTTGTTTCCAAACTGAGTGCAGCTTCCCAGTAAGATGTCTCCATATTCAGGATACCCAAACTTCAAAAGTTTTGGTGAAAGAGATGTGGAGAGAGTTTTGAGCCTTGTTGTTAGATCACAGTGAGAGAAGTCAGGGATAACATGGAGAATGAAGCATTCCACTGGAAGAAATGAAGAAATGAAAGAAGGAAGGAAGGAGGAAGGGAGGGAGGCAGTGGGAGGGAGAGAGGGAGGGAAGGAAGGAAGGAAGGAAGAAAGGAAGGAAGGAAGGAAAGAAGGAAAGAAGAAAAGGTGTGTGTTATGGTCTGTGTGTGTGTGTGTGTGTGTGTGTGTGCACCTACCTGGACACCTGTGTATAACCAGTAACCAGCAAGGCAGAGAGATCAGGGACAAGGGAAGCATTGTGGAGCGGTGATATGTTCCTTTTGGGAAAGATGTGGGATTTTCAAGGGTATATTTGGGCACTTGCTCAAGAAGTTCAAAGAGCAGAGAGGTGGGGTCAAAATAAAAAACACTGCAGAAAGACAGTGATCAGGAGGGGAGACTCCATATCAGAGCGCCTAGAGGCTTAGCTGCCACCACAGTCCTCTGTGTACTTAAGTCCTCCTGCCTGAACAGGGATCAGACTCTTTGGTCGGTGTGTGTCCTCTGCAAAGCCATGTGGCTCTACCTAGCAACCCTCTTAGGCATGTACTACTTTGTGCACTGGTACTGGGAGAGGCAGGTGGTGAGCCACCTCTCAGACAAGTGCATGTTCATCATGGGCTGTGACTCAGGTTTCGGAAACCTGCAGGCCAGACAGTTGGATGTGTGCGACTGAGGGTGCAGCCTGCATGTTGGACAGAGAAGGGGGTCCCAGATGTCAGACAGGCTGGAAACGTTGATCTTGGATGTCACCAAGACAGAGAGTGTCGCTGCAGTTGCCCAATGGGTGAAGAAGCATGTTGGGGACAAAGGTACCACCCCGGTTCCTGTTTGTGTTTGTTTCTTCTCTTTCTGTGATGGGGAGACCTATTGTCTTCTAACTGGGAAGATTCCCAAGATGTCTTGATTTTCAAGGACTCAAGCATTGCATTTTCCAGAGCAGAAGTCCTAGAGTGTTTGTGGCTTAGCCCCAAGGTGAGATGAGCCCAGCCTGTGTGTAGGGATCACCACTTTCTGGAAGAAATTTGGGCCCTTGAGTTGGACCTTGAGGATTGGCACGGGGTGGGGTAGTGGGAAATGGGTAGGGCTGGATCAAGGCTCATGATCTCAGCCTTTTCTTCTTTCTTTCCTTCCTTCCTTTCTTCCTTCCTTCCTTCCTTCCTTCCTTCCTTCCTTCCTTCCTTCCTTCCTTTCCTCCCTCCCTCTCTCCCTCCCTCCCTGCCTCCTTCCTTCCTTCCTTCTTTCTATTTCTTCATTTCTTCCAGTGGAATGCTTCATCAAATTGCATGTTGTCCCTGAGCAGGGGCCATGCTAATCTTCTCTGTATTGTTCCGATTTTAGTATGTGTGCTACTGAAGCAAGCACTCAGTTTTCTTATCGGTTCCTCATATCTGTGCCTCTTGAGGGGTTTCAGATTATCCTTACTTGAAACAAGAGGACATTGAGGCTTGGAGAGTTGAATACTCAAATACTGAGTGATAAATCCTGTTCTTTCTGTCATATTGTGTTGCCTGTTCTTTTGGTGAAAAGGGAGATGATCGATTTCTTTGTTCTGATAAAAAATACAGAACATGCTCAATGCAGAAAACAGAAGAAGATAAAGGTAAAACAACATTCATCCAAATCCCACCCTCTAGAGCTAATTGTTCTCTACATCATGTATTCTGGGATCAGCACTTTCATCAGATTTCTTCCTAAACATCATACTGTGTCTATATATTGCCGCATGTAGAGAGACTATAATTTATTTATCCCATTCTATATTGCTAGATGCTGAAGCTTGATTCCTATTTTCTCTGGCATAAATAACATCTTGGGAGATTCTGTAATAAGATTTGCGGAGCCAGGCTCGGTAGCTCAGCCTGTAATCTCGTGCCTTCGGGAGGCTGAGGTGAGTGGATTGCCTGAGCCCACGGGTTTGAGACCCGCCTGGGCAGTGAGACCTCATCTCTACATAAAAAAAAAAAAAATCAGCCGGGCATGGTAGCGCATGCCTGTAAATTCCGCTACTTGGAAGGCTGAGG